AAAATATTAAATATTAAGTTTCAAAATATTACATATTAAATATTAAGTTTCAAAATATTAGATATTAAATTTCAAAATATTAAATATTAAGTTTCAAAATATGAAATATTAAATTTCAAAATATTAAATATTAAGTTTCAAAATATTAGATATTAAGTTTCAAAATATGAAATATCAAGTTTCAAAATATTAAATATTAAGTTTCAAAATATTACATATTAAATATTCCAAGTATTACATATTAAGTTTACTATCGTTTGTAATTTGTAATTTATCGTTGCATATCTGAAAGCAGAACTTCTTCTGTCGAGTATGACATCGCAAAGGGTTAATTGCCTTCTCTGGCTATGGTGGTAGGAGAGAATTTTTCCATATAATTTAAATAGTTTCAGAGGAAGAAACATTTTTTCTATTTTCACGTTCTAGGTCGACTATGTTTCTTACATGGACGAATGTTACGGGTCACAAGTTCAATCGCGTCGGTTAATTAAAATGCGGAGAAATTGAAAATTGCCACGGAGGACAAATTAATTAGGGGGTAATGATAAAATTCGCTATGGTGAGTTCGATACGAACGGCTTTGAATTTTGATAAGCGAAATTAGGAATTTCGTCGACTTGAATGAAGTGAATTGGAATGAATTGAATCATATCGCGCTTTTGCAGTGCGCTATTAAAATTATGCAGCGTGTATGTGTATTTTTTCTACTGCATGCTGTAGCAAACATTGACATGCATTTAAACATGCACGATAATATAACCTTGGGCTTTAAAATTTTCAATCGAATGTGAAACTTTCTTCCACTTTTTGCTATTTCTTCAAAAGAAAAAATTTGCCTTCTGTTTTATTTACCCGAATGCAGAATGCTATTACTGCCCTTTGCTATCAATAAAAAATGATTTATTGTTATTTCGTAACAGTTTATGTTATTAAACAAAAAAGAAAAATTTTATTCACTCGTTGAAAATGTTTGAAATTACTTCAAAAAATTGTCTCACACGACCATAATAGCTGGAGAAGATAATCAGATGGCCTGCTTTAAATGCCCACACTGTATAAATCTTGCTTTCGAAATTTTGCACTTTAATTCAGGATTAGGGCTGAATAAAGAAACTATACCAACGGATTTTCTGTTCATCGTTTCCAAGGATTCTCTAAGGTAGAAGCGAGAAGGATTCTCTAAGGTAGAAGCGAGAAGGATTGAGAGAGCAAGACAGTGAATTTTATTTTCCTTCGACAAGCCACGTATGTAAGTACGTGAAAACCAGGCAAACGCTAGTCAACAGCCATTATCTGGAGTCACGAGGTCAGTTTCGGGTCATCGTATCTCCCTGGAAGCAGCGTCACCTTTCAGATAACGCGTACTAGATAAACGCCCACGTCCGCGTCCTCCGATGTATTCGTCCTTTCGTCTATCGATCGCCCGATTCAAAAATCACAGCCCTCAATTACCTCCTTAATGTTACACTCTGTACCATCCATTCAACCTTTGCATACCAATCTCCGTCCTTCCCATGTAGAATAATTGAGAGGTTTAAGAAAAAGTAAAGCTGAAACTTATCGGAAAAGAAGAAACAAAGAGTAAAACTGAAATTTATTAAAATAAAACTGAAACTTATGCGAAATAAAAACAAAAATAAAACTGAAACTTGTATAAAATAAAAAGAAAAGTATAAAAC